CTCATGAATTTACAGATGTATATACGGTTTGATATATGATTTTAAACGGTTTCTTGTTTAGTTAATGCACAGTGTAAGTTAATTTCTTCGAGCTTCGTTAAACGCGTGATTTAATTTGGGTAAGCACACGCTAATACGTTACCATTAGTGAACTCTTCAAAATTAGAGGCGCGTTTGGTCGTCTGACAGGGACAGCATGGCGTTGCGGATAATACAAAACATGCCAATCTCAATCCAATTTTAAATGTTAAATGTATTTGTCATTCCAATTAAAGAATAGAAGAACTAAAATACATATGTAAGAGAGCAAGAACCCTAAATTTATCATCCATTAATAAAAAATACATTTTCGAGGCATGTGTATTGTATTACGATGCACCATATGAAAAATAGATACATACGATCAACAATAGATATAAATTGATATCATTGTCATTCCTACTCTTGATGTATATAAAGTCCACAACAATAAAATATTTCATTTGCATTTTCTTAGGAATTGGGAATTGTTCATCGACATTCAACATATTGTTTACATGTTTATGTTACGTTTGTACCAGAAATCCCGCGAGATTTGTACGTTTTCCGACTTTTTCACAAAAGAGCGCACTAAGAAGTACAACTCTTCCATAGTGGAAATAGAACGTATTGTAGACGCTATTGTTTGAACTTTTTACAACAATTAACACTACTGCAAGATAAGTGTGAAAAAGTCGTTTCTTGAAAAATTACCGTCCTGATAAACGAGTCATTTTTCAATGAATTATTACGTTTTGTAGTAGAAATCGACCGTCCGGATGCGGAACGCGAATTTCCGGATTAATGAGACAGAATAACGTTGAAAAAATCGGTTCCCAAAAAATATCGTCAGGAAGGTGAGGCGACCGGATAAATGGCGTCCGGATAAACGCGGTGCCACTGTATATATGTACATGTATGTATGTATATATAAAAGCTCATGACACTGTAGATATACAGGTACCACACAAATGAAAATACATCGGGATCAGTACACAGAAATGGCTAGTTCTTCAAATAAAGTTGGTTGTAGACTAACAATTGCAGTAAAGACAGACTGAAATGTCTTCCTAAAACTTAATGAATATGCGGGAAACAAAAATGAATGAAACAATATTTTTTTTCTCCCAGAGTAATTTATTTATTTTTGCTTTTGTGGTTGATAAATCATATTTCATATTTGATTGTTACAAAATATGATAAATGCTTTTCTATCGCAGTCATACTGTCCATGGACTTTTCTTTCTTCGCAAGAAAATGCGTGAACTACAATATGAACAAGCATTCTGAGCGTATTGCCCTAGCAATACTAGTCCCCTACCGGCAAGTGTAATCTGGTTTCGTTTAAAAATTGGAAATGCCGTAACTCCACCAAAAATCGATGAAGTGGAACGAAATGCAAACTTGATCTATAACTCATCAAGATAAAGTCACATTCCAAAATCAGCTTAAAATCTGCAAGCTTTTAGAAAAAAATGGCGGAAACCCCTTAGAAATTGAAAAGGTCGTAATTCTTTCGAAAATCATTGAAGCGGAACAAAATGCAAATTTAATCTGTAACTCATCAAGATACATGTACACTCACATACCAAAAATCAGCTGAATATCTGCGAGCGTTTAGAAAAAAAGTGCGGAAAACCAAGTTGGACAGACTGACAGACAGACAGAGAGGCAGACGGACAGACAGACAGATGGACGGACGGACTCAAAGGAAACCTACAGTCCCCTCCGGTTTCACTGGTAGGGGACTAATAAATGACTACTTTTAGAATATATTTACATTGTTAAAATTGCTGTAGCAGGCGAAAAATGCGTTCTTTGGAACACTCAATTTTTTTATTACTGTGCTGAAGATTTTCTATTCCGTAAAACAATAAGTGATAATAATTCCTTTTTTAAAATAAAATTATTTTCATATCAGTTTGATCAGTTAATAATTGTTTTCTGTGTTTGAAAGATGGTCTGGAGAGAATGAGGTTTTTCGCATTTTGAGAATGTAATTGAAAGAATGTGATTTCCTCAATGTACATATGGGGACAAAGAACAGTAATCAAGCACAAAAAAGTCCAAGCATTGAAACTGTACAAATCGGGAGCAGAGTAAACGCAGACAGCTTAAGGCATCATAATTGGGATAAGTTGCCATGAAGGAGTGAGCATCCCTTGTCGACCGGTCACACCGGTCGTGTGCTCCTTGTCATGAACGGTTTTAACGGTTTTCCGTTTAAACGGAAAAATCCGTAGACACTTCAGTGTGTAAATAGTGGCCGAACAATTAGTATTAAAAAACGTCATTCAGCATTCGACTTAATGATAAATTGTATTTGCTGACAAGGTCATTGTATCGACAATAGGACTTGCAGAATGTTGACTTCAAACGAAACTGTTGATATCCTTGTTTCTTGAACTTGTTTGTCTCATTTTAGAAATTGTTTGTACGTAGAGCATGCTCTTGTGTATCGAATCAACTGGGAGGCATTAACTCCATAAGCAGGTGATAAGGGTATACTGCTACATAAATAAGGGAAGCTGACGATAGAAAAGTTGAAATCGTCACGTTTATTATAAAGTTTTGTTGTTGTTACCATTAAAGTTTTTTAGCAAAATATCCAAATATGAAACAGATATGTCAGACTCTTTGATGTCTTTTATTTCAAGCTCACAGGGGTATATCAAGTCGACATATGAATGGAAGTAACTATTGTTAATTGGTTGTACACTGCTCCTGAAGTTTCTCCTTCCCTGCTGTTAATATTTTAGTGAGGAGTAAAGAAGAGGCTTGTTAGAATATTTACTGGAACCCGCTTTGTAGTTTAGGAATCCAGATGACTATTGGTATAGTAATTCAAATTCAATTTGATTATTTGGAATATTAAAAATATTTAAAACTAACTATTGATTTTGAAGAATTTCCTCCTTAGAAAGGGAGCTATGGGTATAAGTTGGATTGCCACTTGTAGAATTAATTCCCAGTTCCTCTAAAATACAATTGAAATAATGAACATTACAAAGACAATGTTATTATTTACCTGCTTTGTCAACTGGGACCAGTACATATTGATCAGGTAATCTATCTATGTAGTTCACTAAATCCTCCTACCTTTAAGTAGAATAAATCATAAAAATGAATGTTAATGTATTAGAGACGTAAAAATTAGAATCACGCTTTATACTTTTTGCTATGTACCACACTTAACGTAACATTAAAAATCGATTGTTTTCAGCATCAATCTTTTTATTGCCTTGTTCATGTTTAAGAATCCATACCTTACGTCGTAATATACTGCGCAATAAATTTTCAAAAAAACAAAAAAAAAACCTGTCCCAGGGACTTCAGCATTTTGATCCTGTCAATAAATTGCCAGGAGAAAAATCACTATACCAACACATTACAATATCGAAACTCTAGTCGTCAGAGTTCTGATGATATAAGTTTTAACAAATGATGCCTCTTATTATGAGGAGTAGAAAAATGCATTCTGACTAGATGTAACTGAAACAACCATGACAAAATATTAATCATTGCAATACGCCACATCATTTCAGCCAATGGGAATTTTTTTTTGCCTGTATCATTCTATAAGATTTAAAACTTTTTAATTTGGTTACTTTGTTGGTTGTTTTTTTTTACTTTCCTTCGAGAAATTTTCACTCATATTTGGACACTACCAATTGCTGGTAGAGGTCTGTTAACCAGCTGCGATGCCGGACCTTGGTTTTTTCCAAAGGACCGGTTTCACGAAATAAAATTCAAATGAATATGATATGATAATAACGCAGCTTATATAAATTTTTGGTGTTGATAAAGACATTCGTGAAAAATAAACTACAAATTTCATGAAAGTATTTAAAGTTATTCGTCCGTTCGTTGCAGTAAAAGATAATATAAAATAATTCAAAATACAAATGTGGAAGTAGAGAAAAAATATACAAATCAAATAAATATGAAGCTAATATAACTGACGAGCATGTTTATTTGTCATCTCTATAATACATTACGAAAAGAACTATCTTGATAAACTGACGGCAAATTTTCTGATAAAATTTATTTAACAGAAAACTTAAATATTAACAAAAAATAACTGTAGTAGCAAATGTCTTCTCAAATACATATTAAAATAGAACGAGTGGAATGTAAAATACACCACATTATCTTAACAGGATTGTCACCATGCTAAGCCTCCTACCTACATACCATTTAAACAGCACGTGTTTCAACATGTGCTTTTTCGTGTTCTTAATGATGTATCACGAATAATAAGATTAAGTACGGGAAAAGTTCTGTTATATTTCTGAAGACAAAGTGAGGAGATTATCTGAAGACTCTGGACTAATTAAGTAGCGTTCCCCTTTAATTAAACACTTCATTCTTTATTGTCATAAATATATTCAAAACAAAATAAGCAAAACATTTATTTGCTTAAATCGATTTCGTTATAAGATATATAAACAATTTCTATATCTATATATCGAATGAAAATTATTGTAACTGATACTGACCATTTAAAAATGAAAGACAAAAATTGAAAAACGACTGAAAATCAAGCGAAGAGAAAATAAGCACATATTTAGAACACACAAATCTTTACCTATTCATGTTATGTTAGTTATGCCTTATTTGTCATTTCTAAGCATATGTTTATTCTTTATTCTACCATTACATGCAGGATTATAAAATTTTTAAATATCCTGCCTCGCTATCTGATTTATATGATTTAAAGAACTGAAATATCATCCCTCGAACAATTTCGATTTTCTCGCCTATTTTCCTTCTGACTAAAATTGGTGGTTCCTATTCATGTTCTGGGTTGATAAGGATGTTCATACAGATTGTATTTTATATTATTCTTTATATATACATGTGACTTTTTTTTCAATGTGTATATTATCAGTAGAAGAATAGGAAAACTGTGACTGTACAAAGAGCTTTTTATTTTGTCAAACATATAAAACATATATGCCTATATAGTACATAATTATTACAAATGCTGCTTGTTTATTACATAGTTTCCCAGGATCTTTCTTTATCAAACCATAGACTCTGTGTATGCACTTCCAGTAGACTTCATTCGAATTAGAGGGCTTTTCTTGTTGACTTGATTAAGGATTCTCTATAATAAAACAGAAACTGTTATCATACTAATCAGTCATATAAAAAACTTCCCCATAAACAGTCTACCTCATAAACACTCTACCTCATAAACACTCTACCTCTCATCGATAATTATTTGGGGGGGGGGGGGTCAAATTATACTTTATGAAACATAGATATATACGAATATGAATTATAAAAAAAAATTCTCTAAATTTGTGTGTTTGCTTGATAAAAAAAATCTGTTAAAGTACAGAGAAATCTATGATTTATTTTTTTTTTGGGTTAAGTCTTTTTCATTTTAATACGAATTTTTAAAACATTTCTTGTAAGAGAAAAAAAGGGTTTTTTACGACAAAAACAAAGGAGATGGGAAACAAGGCGTGCAAAAAGCTTGTAGTTTTGAATTTAATTTTTAGAGTACAGTTCTTATTATTGAAATTAATAAAATTATGACATATAAAACTTTTCTGTGGAATTTTTTTGTCCCTTTGAAAACCTTCCATATAACTTTTGAAGCAAATACAGCGGAGAATCCAAGCATTGTGCCGCTTAAAAGGTGGTATATGACAAATGAGTGTGGCCTGACCCTGATTAATTGCTATTGAAATACAAATCCTTTAAGGGCAATATTTTTTTTAATGAAGAAAATTTCTATGATTAATAAAGAAAGTGTGGTAACCATAAAACATGGCAGTTTGGACAAGATTTAAGTCCTTTCAATTAAATGAAAAAAATGGTCCTTACCTTAAATCATTTGCAAGTACAAAAAAAAATATTAAAAAGTTTTGTGAAGTTATAGAGCTTACTTTTAGTCATATTTTAAAAAGTTTCCATTGAATACTACTTAGACTGAATTTTGCTATAAGAAATACTTTAAGTGAAATAAGACTTTTAAAAAATCCTGAAATTTTCAAACAATTCTTCTTTGTATTAGCAGACAAAATCAATAAAACAAAGGTTTAAAAAATCCTATAAAAGAAAACATTTGCATTAATTTCTAAAATATTATCTTTACTATTTACATGTAACTCTTTCATATAAATTGAAAAGAAGCACCACAGATTTGTACTTGGATAAAATATTTAATAGCCAGGACAAGTATAAAAGAATTAGCAAAAGATAATCGTTTCGAATTTCTCCCTCGTTTCCTTCCTCAATGATTGAAATCAACTTTGTCCAATTATTTCTTTATTTTTATTTTAGAATTATGAATGTTTTATGTTTGATTATTTAAACGTGTGTGTGTGTGTGTGTGTGTGTGTGTGTGTGAGGGTGTGTGTGTGTGTGTAAGGGTGTGTGCTTGACAGAGAGTGCATCTCATCACTAATACTGCCTATATTTATACATTTATAAATGATAATTTACGGGAAGAATACAGGAAACAACACAGGAATTTAATACTAATTATAATAACATTAAAATATTTTGAAAGAACGGGGGGGGGGGGGGGAATAAGTGAAAAAAATATTTTAGATTTGAAAAAATTATCATATTTTGTCCCGCAAGGTATGCAGAAAGTGTGTGCATTGGTTTAAAATTTCTTTTCGAAAATTATTAGCCTTTAAAAAAAATTATATGTTAGAATTTTGATATTTGCAAAAGGATATGTTGTTCAAAGGGACATAATTTGAGCTAACAAACTTTTTTCCAGAAGTCACATTATCATGATTATGCAATTTTCTTTTTAAATAAAACTTGAAGAAAAGAGACGTATTTGTTGAAATGTGGAAGGGATATTTTAATTTTTTTTTTTTTTTTTTTTTTTTTTTTTTTTTTTTTTTTTTGAATTCGAATCATTTGAAAAGAAAGTTGAATGATAAAATAAGCATTGCAGATGTTTTTGACTAAGTTTGACATGCGAAATATTGCAAAGAGATGACTTACAAGGAGTAAGAATGCTCAAAGTAAATGATAACGAAGTGTTTGGTAGCATTTATAATTGATGAGACATCAGCACCAGGTTTTGCTATTTAAAACAACGTTACCATTCTTCGTGACGATTCTGACTCGTAGGTCAATTAAATCAAGAAATAACCAACAAACTGAATTTTCTGCATCATTTTAATTCAACTTGCGTTAACACTTTTTTCAATACATCATATTCTGGATAAGTGCAAAGTGGCAATAGGAAAGGTTAAAATATAAATTTATTTCAGAATTTTTAATTAACAGAACTTAATTTAAAAAATGAAAATATTGATACATCTTCAAAGACTCTTAAATACAATATAAAAAAAGAAATTAAATGATAGTTTTTTAATTTAAGAATTGTGTCAAGGACATAAGCCTTCATTGATGTTTTTTCTCTTTGTATATGTATAGATATTTTGTATTGACATTTTACATTATTTGTCTTAATTCTGGTTTAAAAAATGATACGATGCAATAAGTTCCCAGTAATAACTTTTGTCAATTAAGTCAATTTTTAAAGGTAAAGCAAAAAAAAAAAAGAGAGATTTTAAAGTGAACCTGTTTTATCTCATTTTGTCGCACTTCTGACTTCTGACCTATTATTACTACCATTTAAAGTTATTTATTCCCAACAAGGACCATGTTTTATTTAACAAATTTTCAAAAATATGAAATTTTAAAAATTTCTCTAAATGATGTTGCATTCCTGTCATTTTTAAACATCATTTTTGCAATAACCTTTTGACACTCAAGATATCAATTAGATATTCGGCAGGAAGCTAACCAATATCAAGAGACACATACTGAAACATAAAATAATATTCACATAACCTGTGTTTTGAGTCCAGGTCATCATTTATGTGTCCGGTTATTTGTTTTTAAATTCGCCTATTTCTTACTTTCACCTTACAGTGTTCTTAAATTATAATTGATCATAATAACCTTAAGGGAGCCGACTGGGGTTTTATTGTGTGAAAACTACTATAGAGAAACTCTTTAATTTTATACCATATGTACCTTACAATGACTTCAGTTTATATGCCAAGTTTAGGAAACATCTACCGTCTGGTTATTGTTTAGGGACCATCTCAAAATACAGGTACATTTACTATAGGATTATATAGGAAAATACCATTTTTCCCACTTCGGAGCAAATTATACAAAAGCTACTATAGACTTTTTGCTCGAATTATATTATTTGATGGGTAATTCTATATTGTACATTTTATGCAAGAAACACAAAATTCTACCGTCTGGTTTCCAGAGGGGGCATCTCAAAATGTCAAAAATCGTGATATATTCCTGTTTTTATGAAGTACAACAAAATATGACAGATACTACAGATTTACATAAAAAATATTAAAAATGATTGTGAGATTCTCAATTTCCTATGTTTAAAATTTCAAGAGCATCTATTTTATACTTTTTATTTCATGACATAATTAATGACCCCGCTTTAAGAACTTCGGTTATTCTTAACGTCAAAAACACGCTATTACGACGTCTATCTTCCCATCATTTGAAAAATCGTTTAAAAAATCAGTTATTTAAAAACGTGATTAGATTTTTTAACCTTAGATTTCCTAAATTTGTTAATTTTTATAAATTAAGTAAAAATAGTTGCTTTAAAAGAGTAAATTTGCTTTATTTTACCATGCTGCGCGAAGTATTGCGCAATGAAAACCCCAGTCGGCCCCCTTAAGTAACATAATTCTGATTATTTTTTATGAAAATAATTTATGAAAATAAACAAAAAAAGAATGCCAATTATCTTTTTTTTAAATTTTAAAAAAGAGATAGATAGAAGATTCAACTAAATTTTCAATGTAAATGTAAATACATGTAAAAACAAAATTTGACTACATTCATTTTTATTTGCTAATTACCAAGCTGGTACTATGTAGACATTGGAACGCAATGGGTACAGTGTAGTGCAGTTGTACTACTGTGCAATTTATATTTTTTTTTATTAAAGAAAGAATCTTTGTACTTATTGTTTTAATTTAAAATATCCCCCGCTTCTCTTTTATAAAAATGCTTATAATTGGTTGTATTCTTTTAATTTTCACAATATTTCTTGATTTTCTTAAGTTTGTTAAGGCAAATTATGTCTTTTCAACAATTAAGGCAAAATTTTCAGAGCATTCTTCTTTTTATTATGCAAATTTTCAGTGACTTTTAACTAGCAAAAAGCTTGTATACTATATAAAATTGAAAATTCTCCCTTCAATACAAGACTTTTATGGTATACAAAGCTTTGGAGTTGTTGAGGGGGGATTTTTTTTTTTAATTTTTGAAGGCTTTGGAAATGTTGTGTTAAGAATTAGTCACTTAACAAACACTGCTAAGGAGGAATCACTGTAGTGTGAAAATTCTGTGATATGAAATTGAGTGGTTCTTCTTTTCACTTGAAAGATGACAATGTACAAATGTCCATTTACAGGTATAATGTATGAGCTGGACATAATATCACTAATTTAGTGACTTTGGCTATAAAGATAGGATCTACATGTGTATAGACTTAAGATTATGACAAACATTTATGTCACGAGCAACATTTGTCTAAAGTTTGGATCGATTACTTGAAAAGATCCAAGAATTACGATGTATCTAAAACAGAAAACATGTTTTGATCTTATGATGTTTTAATTCATTTTGTTTTATTTATTTATTTATTTTTGAGGGGGTGTCAGACATCATATTTTACACCGGTAACTTACAATTAGAGCTTGTGTTATCCCCTTTTTGCGTGTAAAATACCATCATTTATATAAATGACATCTCCAAGAATTTATTTTAAGTCGATTTTAACAAATTTACAAAAAAAGAAAACAGCTTGCCCAGTTTAAGACGACATACATATAATTTAGAAAGCGTTGATAGAATTTTAAAAATTGGCATTTCTAGTTTCCAAATCTCTTCAATTTGCAAATTATTTGTAAGGAAAATACTCCTCTGTGCCATTTCTCGTCAAATTTTTAAAATTTTTGCCTGTATTTTTTCTTACCAAAATTAAAATGGTTAAAGTTTATTTTTTTCTAAATAAACTTGTGATATGTATGATATCATGTAAGAAATACTAGTATTAAGAAATTGTCATTATCCTATGTATGAATTACTTTTGTCTATGAAGAATTAAAATATCTACCTCTTTTATGAAGAATTAAAATAACTACCTGGTTTAGGGTCAAATCAAATGAACTGGTGACCACAGAACAGGATCGCCGATTTTGGAATGCCTGCAAACCGGAAAAGGATTTACTCTCCAAATAGTTACTCCAGTGTTTCTTCAACGCTGCCTGTACCTTAAAAAGTTTATATAGCACTTTATCTCTAAAAGAAATCTAAACTCACAAATAATTCAAATACAAAATTCGTTGAGATAGTATGCAAATCAAGTTTGTGCAGTAAGTCAATGTAGGACATATTTTAACCCGTACTTTGTATAAACTGAGGTATTTTGGTACCTCCGTCCGTCTCTCACATTTTCTTTTTTCCTTTTCTTCCTGCATTTTTAGAGAAAGACAATTAATTTTGTTCCCATATGATTAATGGTGTTCCTGGAAGCCTAAAAATCTTTCGTTAAAAAATTTACTTCTCATTGGAATTCCTACAACATTTTAGATGGAGCTGACAAATATATCTGGAACAGTCGCATTCCGAAATATACTGTTAGTTATATTTTTAACCTTCATCTTTTGGATAAGTGTAAAAACGTAAGTTTTGAAAGTGTTTCCCTTTTCGTATATGATCTATTGTTGTTCATTATAATCTTCTAAAACAGTTCTTTCATTATATAATTGAATATTTTGCATCAGAGTTTGTGGTCTATGCAAAATATTAAAAAACAGCTTAAATTTTTGGCCATTTTTAAAATTTTCAAGATTTGATTGATAACTCCCCCCCCCCCCCCAACCCCGGAGTTATTAAAAGTCTATATACTGAGGCAAATAAAAAATGACTTTGGGCCCCCTAGATAACCTGGACCCCACCATCACCAGCACGAGATGGGTGTTTTTCACGTTTGGGAAATGGATTTTCTCTTTTTTTTTTTTTTTTACTTATTTTTTGCTTGTCAAGAAATTTTTGGGTTGGAAATTTTTTTTGACTGAGATGGACTTCCCTGAAAAAAAAATCCTGGATCCGCGCCTGATACTGTTATTTAAAAAACAAAATAAGATCAATTTGTAGTATCTCCGTTGGTCTAGAAATATTAAAATGTATCAGTTTTTACCTCTCCGTTTGTGTAGCAGTATAATAGTGAGATGAAAAATCCTTGAAAGGAGACTAGGAAGTAAGTGGAGTAGGACCAGAGTCCGAAATGAACCACACTATCTGCGGGCGGATCTATCAAGTTCACAGCGTTAGTGATCCCAAGGAGTGGAAGTAATACAATGGCTGCCTTCACTGCTTTTCTGTTAAAAAATTGTTCCGACATTCAATTACCTGATAAAATATAAAACACAAAAAGACGTTTGACCAAAAACTCACGCTCGATAGAATTCAATGTAAATACTTAGGATTTGAACTTCATTGTTCAAATGTATAACATGTTCTTGTCTTGCTTAAACTTAGTCTCGATATTTATCCCACACTTTCGCAAAATCGCAGACACAATAAATCTCATTTGCCGTATGTCAGTCTTCTGTGTGTCAAAAAACTTTAAATAGATCATAATTTTGAAACGAGAGGAAATGGGACTTTCATTTTTAACAACATTACCTTTGACAAGACTTTTCAAAATATACTATGATTTTTTACCTGGTGATCTCAAATTATATTTCACATACTTTTCAAAAACTTAAACCCTGGTCAAAGGTTTTGCACTTGAAGAGACAGAGTTTTCATATTTTACATGTGCATTACCCGTGAGAAGCCTTTTCTTGTAATTTGATTTATGACCTAAAGCTTGAAATTTGACCTTCTTTTCAAAAAAAATTAACCTTAACCTAACGAGACCTAACGGGCTTCCTTATTTTACATGTGCATTACTTCTTCACAATTTCTTGTTTGTGCTTTAATACTGCTTAAGGACATTGGCAATGTTCCTGGCTTTCGTATAGAATTTTTCAAGAACTCCCGAGCAGGTGTAATGGTACTTTTAAACATGTTATATTCTGTTATATTTAACCCACCAAACCACCCTTCCTTTTTAGATGTTGTCAAATCAATGTTTTTACATCTCTCAATGCGTTTCCTGTGTAAAATCTTGATAAAAAGGACCTACATAATTTTTCACCATACAATTTTTCTAAACCCATTTATTTTATAAAGTATATGTATTATGTTTATTATTGTATCCTCATTTCCCATGTCATCTAGATATTTTGGCCGAAAATGCAAATATAAATACAATACACAAATATACCAGCATCGTTCTTTATTTTTGAGTTACTTCCCTGAACATCTAATTAATATTCATAATCGTCAAGACACTGGATGATTGTTTCTAATATGTGATTGATTTATTGGAAGCAAGTTGTCATACAAATATTGGCATGGATTTGTTTTTCATTTTTTTTCGTAGTTACTAAAAAGTACCTCCTTCACACGATCCAGAAACAGTTTTCAGCATATGTCAGATCTTTGACTTTTCAAGCATAGTTATGGTAATTACTGTAAATAACAACCTGTATTCTGTTTGTCCCCTAAATGCAATCTACAATGAAGACATCATTGTTGTAGAGATGATTTTACCTGTTGAAGGATGTGCACGTGCTTTTATTCACCTCTGTAACATACGCTTCATTGGTTTTTTCATCGCTTAGAGAATTCTACATGTACACGGGAGATCACTCTCAATCACTATTTCATAAGTGAAAAACCCATGTATTGAACCTTTTTTCTCCGAAAACAGAGCCTTGCCAATGTCCTTAGAGACAGATGATACAAACTAAATAAATGCCTGGATTAGTACATATTTTGACCTATTTTGGTCATAAATGATGCAAATATTAAATTTTTAAAATGTTAGAAATTGTAAACTTTCTATGATGTTCAAAATTCTACATTTCTGCAATCATCCTTATAAATCTATACAATATTTTTATCATTAATAAGGCATTATTGTAAAAGTTTGAATGAAAAATTAAAAATTATGCTGTAAAACTTATTCGGTATGTCTTTAGTTGTTATTTTCATGATTTTTGAAAAAAAAAGACGTTTGTAGCATCTGTCTTTAATCAATGTTTAACTGTATTTTGCTTTGAATATACTAGTAATAAACACATACTAAACAAACACTAAAAACATACATGTACCTAACTGAATTTTGAAATTAAACTTTATAGTTACTTTCTCTTTTAAGATTAATTATCTAATTACCGAAAAGGGATTAAAAATCTTGAAAATGAATCAAAATATTTTAATTTTGAAATCTCCATGCGCTTGGTTTACAACGCTGTCATCAAATCTCAAGCAATGAGCTAAAATATTTTTCTTTAAAAAACCAATCCTTCCATACAGATATTGAGAGAGAGAGAGAGAGAGAGAGAGAGAGAGAGAGAGAGAGAGAGAGAGAGAGAGTAATATTTACTTTTTCTGAAAACGTTAAGGAAATTATGTTCCATATGTTTTTATTAAAAACTCTAAACTCCTGAACTGTGTTTAAAGATGTAATCATATAAATTACTGCAGTTTTAACTAACTTTGTTGGATCTACATGGGTAGAAGATTATCCGGATTGCAACCCCTTTTATGTAGAGAGAGAGAGAGAGAGCTCTTAGACTCCTCTATAAAAACACTTCCCAGTATAAAGAAGTTGTTGTTGTCGATCGATTACTTTTTGAATCTGTATAGAATAGATTCACCATTGTGTAAGAATAGTGTAGATCCACCAATGTGTATGTATTGTATAGATCTACTTCTGTGTTTGAATGGAGTAGATCTATCACTCTGTGTGTATAGAGTAGATCATGATCAACCACCGCGTATGTATGGACTATATTAAGATCATCCACTGTGTATGTATAGACTATATCATGATCAGCAAATGTGAATGTATAGAGTAGATCTTTCATTCTGTGTGTATAGACTAGATCATGATCAACCACTGTGTATGTATCGAGTAGATCATGATCAACCACTGTGTATGTATAGACTATATCATGATCAACCACTGTGTATGTATATAGTAAATCATGATCAACCAATGTGTATGTGTAGAGTAGATCATGATCAACCAATGTGTATGTAAAGACTACATCATAATCAACCAATGTGTATGTATAGAGTAGATCTTTAATTCTGTATGTATAGACTATATCATGATCAACCACTGTGTATGTATAGACTATATCATGATCAACCACTGTGTATGTATAGACTATATCATGATCAACCACTGTGTATGTATAGAGTAGATCCCCCACTCATGACACATAGATGTAGATCCAACATTATGTTTGAATATTATAGCAAATTCACATCTATATATTAAAGGAGTAGATCCAACACTTAGTGCGCATAGTAAAAGTTTCTACGTCTAGTTATTTGAGGTGGGTTTTTTTCCTGAACTTTAGTCAGCTGAGTGTTTTCCTGAATTTTGTCAGCTGTGAGTTTTCCCAACTTTTGTAAGCTCTTTTACATGATTTTCGTCAGTTTTGTGTTTTACAGACTTTCGTCAGCTTTGTGTTTTACATTAATTTCTTCAGTTGTGTGTTTTACATTAATTTCTTCAGTTGTGTGTTTTATATTAATTTCTTAAGTTATGTGTTTTACATTAATTTCTTCAGTTGTGTGTTTTACATTAATTTCTTCAGTTGTGTGTTAACCCGACTTTCGTCAGCTGTGTGTTTTTCTTGACAACTCGTCAGTTTTGTGTTTTTCTGACTTTTGTCAGTTGTTTCTTTAATATGATTTTGTCAGCTGTGTGTTTCACCTGACTTTGCAGATTTGTTTAACATGACCTTATTTAGCTTGTTGTTTTCCTGCAATTCATTACTGGTGTGTTTTTATACACATTCGTCAGCATTTAACATGACCTCTGTTATATGTGTTTTTACCTGACTTTCCTCAGATATATTCAAAAATTACTTTTTTCTATGTGTTTTTACTTAACATTCCTTAGCTATGTGTTTAAGATGGCTTGCTCTATGTGTTTTACCTGATTTTTCCTCGACTGTGTATTTAAACATGACTTTTTTTATGTGTATAAATGACATTCCTCAGCTGTGTATGCAAACATGACATTCGTTACTTGTGCTTTTACCTGATTTCAGATGAATTTTGTTAATGTAGGTCCCTACTCGAGTGACTTCATCAATACTGGTACCATATTGAAAATATGTAATATATATTATAATTATCAATAAGAGAGTTAATGTGCACCTATTTTTTATGATATTACATTGGTAGCAGTGCAGTGAGAATTTGATTCCATGTCTAAACGTCTAAACAGGTTTTGATTTTCAACCTTGCAAAATGTAACTGATGTACATACATATGCACGTTGTACAACTTACATTTACTTTTCACACAGTATTTAAAATAATTACTAATTTCATTAAAAAATACAGATATTTTCTGAAGAAATGTGTTTCATTGATAGCTTTCAAGAGCCATTCTCTGTAATGACTTGAACTTTTATATAGGAGCTGTGGCACGCATAGTCTCAGAATTTCTCCAAACTCTCTATGGTAAAAGTCTTTGATACCGTAAACCCAAATCAGGCAAAAATTGGTTGCTACGTGTCATGGTTACCATAGCAACATGTCCTAAAGTTTGAAAAATGGCATTTTTCAACATCTTCAGAGTCCCACAGTTAACGTTTGCAGTTAAGCAAACAAGTGGCAATGACTGTTTCTGAAAGTTGAAGGCCTGGTGTCTTAAATGCATGATAAACATGTTTGGTAAATCATCTTTAACATACGTTACTATGGAAACAAAGTATTCGAAAGTAATAATTTTGTTCATTTAATTTTATAAAGTCATACACTTAAGAATAAAAACAATTATAGCTTGAAATGCAAGCAATTAATAGAGAAGAGATCCTTGTAACATATACCAAGGACAAAATATATTTCTTATAGGTTGGCAATGGTTGCCATTGTTTTAATACCACGAAGGGATTTTAAATTTACGCTCTTAGTGTTTTAATCTTATCCTATCTTTTTAAAAAGCATATTTCTATATAACTGATGATCAATTTTTAAAGGCCTTGGTGTGACCCTAATTTTCACTTTTCAAAAAATTCAATTTCAATTCTTTAAATAGTGCGTTGCTATGGAAATAAGGCGAAAAAACATGCGTAAAAATCTGAAAAATTCTCTGTTTCCTTGGATACGTACCATTGTATGTAGATGCCCAAAACTTTAATGATTGATATATGTGAACAACTAACCTGACTTTCAATTTTGACTATCACCCAATCTCTAACTGGATGCAAAAAGCTGGCACATAGGGTCTAATATTGACA